ATTGGTTTTAATTAGATCTGTAAAATAGGTCAATTGAGTGGGAGGGGGAGGGGGAAGTTATTTGATGATTATAAACTGAATGGTGTGTAGAGTCCTTGAAGTGAAATGTGTTAAATAAAAGCCCTATAGCCATTCATCATTTGACTAAATAACAGTTCCTTTTCACTAAGTAAAATGTGTGCCTTTATTGCTTATCAGCTACAGGAAAAAACAGTTTACAAAGGTATAGCCCAATAAAACAACTGCCCTAGTTTATCAAGTCTTATAAGTAGGGTTGCTTTAATAATAATTTAGAACCTGATTTTGCAACAGCATCAGTGCAGATTTATTCCTATATCTGTGTAGAGCAGCGGTGGGCAATTATTTTTGCTGGAGAGTTGCTTAATGAGTTTTGGTGAGCTGTCCAGGCCCGCAAGGGTAGCTCCGCCACTTGACAGGTGCCCTGCCTCCTGGTTGCCATCTTGGGACTAGAAGCTCCACCCCTGACCTTTGCTCCAGAAGTCCCTCCCCTTGTCCTGGAAGTACTCTTTTTGGGAGGGAGGGATGCCATCTTGAAAGTGGAAGAAAACAAATCATATACTAAAAAAATCAAACATTTACTATAACTTATTTTAATTTTATTTTAAAAGATATTTTTGCCCAGATGTATGTGTTTACATAGTCTATTTAGAGGTGACTGCATAAAAGCTCAAATGAGTCTTACTCTTGTATATTGTGTTTGTACTCTTGTATATGGTGTGGCGGGGGGGCGCAACGGGGAGGTCCTTGGGGTCCCTGGAGTGTGCAAGTCCCTGGAACTGCACGTGGTGGCAGCGAGCAGGGCCAGCCCCGCATGGCCCCACAGCACGCAGCTCCCTGTGCTCCCACCCCAGTCCCTGGCTGGTTGCACGTGGTGGCAGCGTGCAGGGCCAGCCCCACCTGGCCCCACAGTGCGCAGCTCCTGCAGTGTGTGGGGCAGCCCGGCCTGGCCCCATAGCACATGACTCCCCATGCTCCTGGCCCCTTTTCCCCCAGTGGGAGTCTCTGGCCCCCAACTTGTTGGGGCCTTACCTAAATTCCCACTCTTGCAGGCAGGGAGGCTGGAAACAGCCTCGGGGTTATCAGACAAAAGCCTTGGCTAGGCAGAGGCTTCTTGTCTCCAGTGCCTCCTGGCTCAGGGCTGGGGTGGATAAGGCCAGGTGGGGGGGATGGGGAGGGGGCATGGTTGCTTAGCAACTAGAGCTGCACCTCCTGCACGGAGGCCCGGCTTGCAGAGGGGCAGCCCAGGGCCAGGGCTTGCAGGTGGCTTACAAAGGGGCCCCATGGGCTGGATGGAATTGCCTGGCAGGCTTGATCCAGCCAGCAGGTGATATTTTGCCTGCCCCTAGTGCAGAGCCTCACTGAAGTCAATTGAGCTTCACACAGAGGTCCATCTAAGCACATCTGTTTACAAGACTGGGGTCGTATGCACTAACCACTTTGGAACAGTGACTGTGTCCCTCAGTTTCTGTAAAACTTCATGCAAAGACTATGGTGCTATATAAATATTATTCTACAAAACAAGTTAGGTTAGAGCAAAATCCATGATCTATAGATTTTCAGCTTAGAAACACTGGTGTTAACACACATCACTTGACCTTGTTGAGTTTAAATGGATGACGCCATTCTTTAAATTGCTTGATAGCTTGGGCCTGGCCAATTTGAAAGACCACAAAAGGCATGGATAAAGATGATGATCAAAAACTCTTCTCCTATGGCAAATGCAATTCTCTACAACAGTTGTTCTTGTTGGTAGGGGAGACTGACTTGGTGATGTTGAAATGAATTTCCATGCGTCCCGAGGACCATCACAAACCTTGCCAACTTCTGCTTTAAGTGCAAGATACAATTCTCATCCTGCTGCTCCTGACATAAATGCAGGGCAGCATGCACATTTAAAAAGAAATAAAACCAAAAAGAAAATACTACCAAACCCACACTGTCTTGAGAACATTCAATTTTCCTTCTGGAGAGGAGCAGGATGAGAAACCACATGTGACAGATGTTAGTCACATTGCAGAGTAATCTACTGGCAAGTCCTTACAGACCGTGTGGATGTGGGCAATACATGAACCCACACAGGACAGAACAGAATAGAAAAGAAGTGTTGTGGGAGTTCTCTCTTGCTTCTTGGTTAAAATGCAGTTAATTCCTGCCTCCCATTGGTGTTGTGCAGTTCAGTTAATGTTTACGATGCATGTTAAGATATTCAGATAACCCTGGGGACCAGAGGAAGGAGGAGCAAGGCAGAGAAGGCAATGATTAGCAAGTGATCTGGGTACTTCAGTCATAGCGTGTACAAAGGTCAGTCAGAAAGTAATGCCTCCTATTTCTTTCTCAGCTAAGTATTATAGAAAAAAATATTGAACTTGCAAGGAAAATTTGTATATCATTGCTGAACACACAGATGTTTTTAAATACACTTGTTTAAAAACACAATGATGAGCAAAAGCAGGTGTCCCGTCATTGTAAAAGTCCTTGTACAGCCAGCCACTTGTGCAACTACTGTTGCACAGCCTCCATCACCTTGCTGTTATCCTGAAAATGTTGCCCTCATAGTCCATCATTGTCTTCCAGGTTGTATGGAGGATGGGGCATCACAGTCCATCCAAATGATGTAATTGCCTTTGTGGTATGTTAGCTGGTGTGTGGGCACACATTATTCTGCAGTAGCAACACTTCACATGCTTTCATTGGGACGGGTTCTTTGCATTCAATCTTTCTGTTTCTTCAGGGTCTTGATAATAGGCCTCTGAATCTGCTATGGCCTCCTTAGGCAAAAAATCAAGAAGACCTTACTCTGTGTTCATAGGTTACTTAGGAGATAAAAATTAGGAGGCATAACTTGCTGACTGACCCTCATAAAATATGAGGATACATCTCCTTGTTCACCAGTGAAAAAAGGCCATTGGTGGAAAAGGAAACTATGTTAAAAAACAGCTGTGTGTTCAGCAATTATATATATTTTCTATGCAAATTTGATATTTTTAAATAATATTTGCCCAAGGAAAAAATAGGATGCATTATTTTCCAACTGTGTATACCTAAGCTGTTCTGAGGCCTGCTGCTTTCTTTTTCTGCTTAGGTATGTTTGCATCCTTTTAACTTCTCTTTCTATGATCTCTTTACAGCTCTTCTTAAGAGCTGCCTCACTCTGTTATCTTCTTACTGGATCTATTTATCTTCCACTCAATGCTGCTGTAGGGGCAACAAAAAAACAAGGTGTGTGTGTGTGTGTGTGTGTGCGCGCACACGCAACTGGAGTCTAAAACTAGATCAGTGTCCACCCCTGACTAGAGCTCACCAAACATCCTACTTCTCATCCACTGACTCTGTATTGGTGAGCAGTCCTGCCTATGGCCTCTTGGTGAGTACAGAAGGGGTTGGAGCAGAAGAAAGAAGAGGGAGCCTGACAAGAAGGTGGGAAAGATGCTGCAGATATCAAATCTGCTCTGTGTGCCACTGAGTAACAGGGAAGGAGGTATGCAAGTAGGATCAGTCAACCCTGGCCAAAGACAGATGAAGCCCTATGGAATTAAAGTCTTATTCTGAAAGCAAGATGAAGCCAGTTGTTTCTATACAGTAGTAAAGCAGCTAATTTTGAAAGTAGATGCTTATGTATGTATATATGTATATTTTCTGTGTGGAATCTGTGGAGCAGCATGTGATGTACAAACTAACGGCTTCACCTAAAATCTACCCACATGCTGTCATGTCCCACAACATGCTGGCTGCTTAAGAGCGCTTATGCAGTGTTGTTTTGTTCAAGGCATGGTATTATTTTTTTATCATAGATGATGCCATATCTAGAAATTTGATCTCTATTACCTAAATTAGTGGTTCCCAAACTGTGGTTTGTGGAGCACATGCTGGTGGTCAGCTGAGAGTTGACTAGTCACATGGTTCTAATTCTGCTCCCTGCTTCCATGGGCTAAATCACAAAAGAAGCTAAAAATAAAAATATATTTTCCTAATATTAATTTTCCATATTGTAATTCTTGTAGTTGCTGCAGAAACAATCTGATTAAGAGTGAATAGGGAGGGTATGCCTGTAATTGTAAACAGGAGGGCAGACAGCAATGAGATGTTGCTACTCTTAAAATTCACTACGTAGAATCTTTGAGCACCATTTAGTCTAGAGAGTCCTCATCATAGCTCCACTGATACTACACTAGATCTGGCTTTTTGCTTTTAGGATTTACCACTTTGAAAGATAACTTCATGCATTACATGCTTTAAAACACGATATGTTTTTAAGTAACAAGGTCATGGTCCTTATGGTATTCCACTCTAAGACCCAGAAAACTTGGAATATGAACTGATGATGGGGTATGTGAAGTTGTGGTGGATGTAGGGAGAAAAGTAGATACACATAGTTAATCCTAAAGAAGAGCTCGTTTGTGCTGTACACTAGGAACACATTTCAAAGATAGTTCTGTGTGAAAATATGATCCAATGCTGGCTTCACTAAGTCTTGTGGTGAGGTGTTATATACCTATGAGAGTGCATGAAAACCTGCTTGGAGATGTTGCTTTAGTTTGTGTGAAACAGCCTACTTTGTTTAAAGTTTTGCTTGTTCTATGTAGTTTATTATATTTCCCTCATTAATGTAGTATTCATGTGCCTTCTAAGAGTGCATTAAATGATGTCTTTCACATTAGATATCTAAGTCTATTCTTAAGAATCTGAATAAGAGGTAACTGTAAAGACTGCAAGATATATTAGCTGCCATGTTACAGATAGAAATGCCCAACTTCTAAAAGCGCCCAAGTTTGAAAAATATTATCTCAGTTGAGTGGCTGGAAGAGAGAGGACCTAATTCAGAACAGAGGAGCTCCTGAAGATGGAAGATTATGAGAAGAGAAGATCTGAGTTCAGAGTAGCTTGCAGTCTCTTCTTTAGAAAAGCAAAACTCACTATTATTTCTGATATACCCAAGTTAAATGTACAAAATCAAATGTTCCTAATTATAACATTTATAGGTCTGGTTTAGTAACCGTCGAGCTAGATGGAGGAAACAGGCAGGGGCCAATCAACTGATGGCTTTCAACCACTTGATCCCAGGAGGCTTTCCACCCACTGCCATGCCAACCCTGCCAACATACCAGCTGTCTGAGCCCTCCTATCAACCCACCTCCATACCCCAAGGTACGGTAGATGAACATTTAAGTGGAATTATGAATGGTTTCCTATGTATGTTTATTTTATGCTTCAATTTAAAAAAAATGCAGTGGGTAAATTCAGGCTTCAGTCTAGCAAAACTCTGACAAATCTGTTTACATTAAGCATGTGAGTATTCTGATTTAATTTGCTGGATTAGATTTGATTGCCAGTGAATAGTACCAGACAGACAGCACCAGCCTGTAGACTGATCTTCTTTACACATGGAGCAGGTACAGCATTCACAAGGGTTGTGCTAAGTATCCCACCATTCCTCACCACTCTCACCATGAGGGTCCACCAACGTGGGGCTGGATGATGGACAAAGAAATTTGGCATTTTTTGTAAGTAATGGGCTGAAATCCAGTACATAATGGGCTGAAATCATGAACTCATTTCATACATGAACTGAATAGCCACTAGATGGTAACACATTTCAGTTAATAGAAATGAGTCACAGTCTTATCAGAAGTCCTGTGAACATTGGTGATTTGGCAGGAAAAATTATATTTAGATCTAGACCACTCCTGATTTTTCATCTTTTAAAGGCAAAACCTGACTGACAAGATTTCATAAAACCAGTCTCCATTCTTTTCTTGCCCTTCCCTAAAGCTTGGCTCATTTGGGATAATGACTCAAAGTGGGACAAATTTAAGACTTTTTAACCACGTTGTTGGTGATTTTCAGTAATATCACATTTAGACTCAAATCAGTGGGAGGTATTTTTTTCCACCAAAATCTGACTCGGAAAATTTCGCAGTCCCCCACATTTTTCCACTGCTAGTCACTACTAACCTGAGCTGAATTTTTACTGGTGTCCTGGGGAAGAGAGCGGCTGTGTCCTGCACATTGTCAGCCTGCTGATCCAAAAAATATTTACTTCACATTTTCTGTTTTGCTTCATGAATTCTGAACAGTACATAACTATTAACAATCACATGAATATTGCATCTTTTTATAATATGACTTTTACAACATAAATAATGACATTGTTCTGGTAGAACTTTATATTGTTTTTCTTTAACTATCCATTTAAATGTTGAGTATCATCAAATGTTAACTTTTGGGTCCTCTAGTATCTACCTGCAAGTTCTGACTGAGACTTCTTACTGCTAAACTTTATATAATGAATTTCTCACTTTTCTCATGATGCTCTGACATAACAAGCTACATTTCTTTTTCTTTTAGCTGTGTCTGATCCAAGCAGTACAGTCCATAGACCTCAGCCTCTTCCTCCGAGCACTGTGCACCAAAGCAGCATCCCTTCAAATCCAGAAAACAGCTCTGCATATTGCCTACCCAGCACCAGGCATGGATTTTCCAGCTATACAGATAGCTTTGTGCCTCCATCCGGGCCCTCAAATCCCATGAACCCTGCCATTGGCAATGGCCTTTCACCTCAGGTCAGTCCTGTGTTTTCAGACAGAGGATTTGCTGTATACCAGAACCAAAGAGTCTATTCCCTGAGGCCGTAGTATAATGAATTGCCAAATTTAAACCATAATGTATTCTTTATACAAGCCACATGATTTCAGTTTGCTAGTTTCCTTTTTTTTTTTTCCTACTGACTGCATCAAGTGTCATAGCTTATATTTAATTTCAAGTGATTTATAATGTAATCATGAAGACTTCATGTTTACCTTTCATTGTCAAGCATTTGTTGTGTGCAGTTATGTTCCTTGAGATCCATACATAGGTAAAGTTCAGGAACACTGATTTTTGTCTGGTATGTTGTCGGCTAATAAACTTTTTCTAGTCTAAGGTCCCTTTAGGAAAACAAAGAGGTTTTACCAAATGGCCTAGAAATCACAAAGAAGTTATATTGAGAGAGAGTTCCAGCTGATAAGCAGTACACATTGGGATGAGCTATAATCGAGTTATAAATACATAAATTAGGAGTATTGCTGCTCTTTGGAAATATAAAAATGCATGAATACTATAATTGTTTTTCTAATTTGCATGAGCTTTTCTTAGGAGATCATGTTAATAAATTGCCTTGATAATTGAGTGTCAAGAGGTTGGTTAGATTTCCTACATGTGGCATCTGTCTGTAGTTGATGTTATTGCTGAAATATAGAGTCACACTTTTATTAGTGTGAGCTTCACTCAGGTGTTTGGGAGTGCGGTCTACTAAATTCTGAGAAAAGTCACAAAGGGGATGCAATCTATAATTACAATCAGAAATCTCTTCAGGGCTGAGAGTGAGAGTTTTAACAGCTTTATCTTCTTTCTACCCTTTTTTTGCTCTCAGTGGTTTGAAAAACAGAGAGAAGCTCAGAATGACACAAATGAAAAGTGAAAAGACAATTATACTCAATTACACACTAATCACTGACTATCACCACTGCCTAAGCAGCGAGAGGGCATTCTAATAGGCAGAAAATGAGATTTTAATGGCACAAAGGGTGGCCAAAATAACGACTCGCATATCTTTGCCTCCTTCGTTTTCTTCAACTTGTGGTTTGCATCTCGGGAGTACAGTTCCTGGTTCCTGCACAACGGTGATAACTCTGTGCAGCTGAAAAGTTCAAAGGCATCAGAGTTGAAAAGAATGAATAGCAAAGGCAATGAAATAAACATTTTTGCCTAAAGGCAAAAGTTCATAAACCCTTTTTTGTAACAGTAAATGTAATTAAGTTTCATAGATTCCTATAGCACAGAGCGGGATACAAAACTTTATGGCTTAAACCTCAGTAGAAAAATACCAACATAAAAACAAACGGATGTACTTCCAACAAGACTTTAATGAATTTTGGTTTGAACAATTCTGATTTCTAAATGCAATCACCACAAAGGCATGACATTAAATTAATAGGGGTTTTTTTTTTTTAATTACCAGATTCACAGTGCACAAGGCTTCCATAATTTAGACACTAATATCTTTCTGGAGTTCAGATTTAATCCATCAAAAGCAGTTGCTAGTGTCATTTTCAGTGTATATCAGTTCTGTCTATAGATTTCCCTCTCTTCCCCTCCCCTGCCCCCTTTCAAAAAGTTTTTGTTCCCTGTGATATAAAATTTAATACAACAGTGAAAAAAATGCTGTGACATTTGGGTTAAGTGGCATAGAAAGCAATGAAGAGGCAAGTCTTTAGTACCTTGTTGACCATGCTTTGATGTTATCAAAAGGAGATCCTAGAACTGATCAGACTGATACAATTAGTTTCTATGTTTTTTCAAACCAGTCTGAACGCGGGAGACAACATTGTCTTCGTGCTGTGAACTTTGTGTCTTTCTTGGCTACCTTTTTTCCATCCTGATTCATAGAACGTCTAACCTTGCTCTGTGCTTTTTACTAGGGCTGTGCGAGGCTTCGATAGCTGACTTGATTTGAAGGAGATTTGGCCTGATTTGGCAGCTGAATCTCCAAATCCAAATTGAATCGGGAGACCCATTAATCTCTCCAAAGCAAATCAGAAGCCTCTGAATCAATTCAGAGAGAATTGGAGATTTTGCCATAGACTGTAGAGGCAGACAGTGCCAGCGGAAGCAGCTGGGGGAGCGGCCAGATGAGCCCCAGCTTGAGCCGGCAGCCCCAGGAGAAGCCATGGCTCCCCCGGCTGCTCCCCCACCAGGGCGAGGCAGGCAGTATTGGCAGCCCTGGGAGAAGCTGTGGGATTGAAATGGGAGCTGGGGAATCAAACCGGGAGCTGCAGGGAATGATTAGGGGCTGGAGGAACAAACAGGGGCTTCCCTCCAGCTCCTAGTTCGATTCCCTCAGCCCCCTGATCATTCCCCCCAGCTCCCACGGATTCTCCCAGGGCTGCAGGCTCAAGCCACAGCTAGTCTGGCTGCTCCCCTGGCTGCCCCTTCTCCCGAGTGAAGCAGGCAGTGCTAGCAGCCCCAGGAGAAACTGCAGAGGCTGGGGAATGATTAGGAGCTGGAGGATCAAGCTGGGAACTGGGGAATCGAACCATGAGCTGGGGTGAATGAACGGGGCTTCCCCCAGTCTCCCAATTCGATCCTCCAGCTCCCAGTTCAATTCCCCCATTCCTGGTTTGATCCCCTAACTCCCAATCATTCACCTGAACCCCCGCAGCTTCTCCCAGGGCTGCCAGCACTGCCTGCTTTGCCCCAGGGGGGGGCAGCAGCTGGGAGAGCAGCCGGATGAGCCGCGTCTTCTCCTGGAGGTGCCGGCTCAAGCTGAGGCTCGTCCAGCTGCTCCTGCCAGCACTGCCTGCCTGTATAGTGTATGGCCAAATAAGATTCGGTGCTTAATATCTTTGGATTCGGATTCAGCTGAATCGACTTGGGACCATGATCCAAATCACTGAATTGAATCACTGTCCCTCCAAATCGCCAAATCTGAATCCAAAGTGAACACTTTCTGCTTCACACACGCCTACTTTTTACCATGGTGCACAGAAAGTTGGTCAATAAAAAGCATATTGATGTTACATGTTCATCCCTAAACATACTCAAGTACATTTTAATTTGTTCAAAGCTTTTGGAGGCTTGTTGGCAGCAGTACAAAAGTTTGTGAACTGAAGTAGTGAACTTTATTGGCTGAAGAAGACCTTTGTACTACACGATAGAAACACATTTTGGCAGAGCTGGCCTTTGGGCTCTGTAAAACTATTGGCTTTGGGACTCTCAGATTTAGGGATCTAGAGATTAAGGAGAAGCTTAACCCTCATAATTTTTACAAGTAAATCTCTATCCCCTTTGCTGGAGAAGGTCGCCTTGAAGACATTAATTGCCCTGAACCTCCAGCTGAGGCAGAAAGGAGCAAGCAGCTGGGTACCACTTCTACAACAGAATGCTTCTGGAGGGCCAGTCTTGTACCTTTTATGTATAAAATATGTCAGTTAAGTTTTGGGTATGTCCCAAAGAATCATCTTTCAACCATTCCTATCATCTGTAATTCAAATCTGTGCTTTCGTAGATGGGGATTTAGTATGCCTGGGCACAGAGTGAGATGGGAACAAAATCGTTTTACAGTCCTTTTGATAAATGTTATAGGAAATTCTGCATTTAAGATGTTATACAAAAAAAAAAAAAAAAAAAAATTAAGGGCAGGGAGGGAATGGGGGAATGGGATCAAAATATAAATGCTGTACTAGTGACTTGTGGCACTGAGGTGGGAAAAAAGTTTTTTTGATGAGAAAGAACTGCTTTTCTTTATGGGGGATGTTGACCTAAGTAAATCTGTGTTATGTGCATGATCCATTAAAGTTATGTTTCTATCCATGACTGTCTCCCTCTGGCAAATACTGTGCAGGAACTATGTACCAAACATAAATTTAAATTATAGTGAATTTTTCAGGACAAGAATAAAAAAAAATCACCTTCTGAATGGCACCTTCTGAAGGTCCTCTGATAAATGGAATCTAGTACGTATGGTCTGGCATTAGGTTCACAGGATATAATTCTTAGTGGATATAAATTACCATAACTCCACTAATGCCTATGTCCAGCAGGTGAGGAACTGACACATGCACCTCTGGAAACATTTTATTTCAATACAAGATATTTAATTTTTAAATTTGCTTCTGAGCTGACTGACATTTTTAAGTTTCTGTTCTTAGACAAGCAGTAGTCAAACTAAGATCAGAAGGCAAAAGATTACAAAAAGCACTAGGATAATGATTTTTTTGGTACTTTTCATTAATTACCCATCATACTAGAAAATTCTTCGTGTTTCACATTTTGATCAATTTTTTGGAGCAGAAATGAATGCCCAATGCACTTGTCTTCTAGTGCCAGTAGTTTGCCAGAAAATAAAATAAAGCTCCTGAACTCGAGTTTAAACAAAAAGAGAGTGGGAAGTCCTATGTCTTCCTACTACTCAGCACTAGAGGTCTGCAGATCTCATCAGGGTGATTAAGTATTCTTCTGTTGGTCTGGTTTGCTCATTATCACCTGGCTGTGGTGAGAAATCTTCTGTGTTATAGACTTACAAAGGGTTGATCTTCATAGGAACAAGGCAGTGATTAATGGTTGAAGGAACTGGTGTCAAGTATTGTCCCTGTTTATGTTTTACTATTGCAGACTCTCAGCCAGTGAACTGGAGCTTTTTACGTACAGTTTCAGAATTGAGATTATTAGTGTGTAATGTATGTAAATTGCATATTTTTGTGTCTGCTGTGCATATTATACAGCTTCTTGAATTTCATGCATATGTTTTATTGGAATATTGTAGTTTCCTTTCAAATTGAATTTTAGTTACTCAATGCATTTTTGTTGGAGAAACATTTGTTAATTCTGAACACTTCGATGCTACTTCCTATAAATTTAATAGCATGTACAGAACTCAAGACTGTTTCTGATCTGGCACATCATTGTTAGATCATGGCATTAACAAGTATCTCAAATTTCTTAGATGTCAGGAAAGAAAATAGCTGTCAAAACATATCTATTTCAAATGAAGATGTATGGTTTTACAATAAATCAGGTTGTTATAAATATAGGATTTCATTATTTTGAATTTTTTATTTACATTCAAGACCAGACCTTTTACAGTATGACATTGGAATCCCATGACCTTGTCTTACGCTCTTCTGAAATGTAAAGGTAGTAAAATGTACTTGCCTGTGCTTCCAGCCGTTTCTGTTTCTAAAGAGCCCTTTTTCAGAATTTGCTTGGAATCAGGTCCCGAGACAGTAATATACCAAGCATTGCTGTTCATCAGACCGCTGATTTTCAACTTTTAGCACTCAAGTTACAAACATTTCAATAGTCTCTGTTAAAAAGTGTTTGCCACAGAACTCAAATTGCTATTGGATGTTTCTTTTCCCTATGGCTTTCCCTTAAAAAAAAACCCCAAAAAGAAATGGGCCATAGTAGTAGGTTAAGAGACAGCCTTAGAGCCTTTAGTGTACTGTCCATTTACAAATGGCAGGTCCATTGGCTGCATTTGTTGAACAGTTGTATTGGAGACTGCACCATCTTTCAGCTTCTCAGTTCTTCAGTTTTACCTGAAGCTCAACTATAGTCTGGATCAGAAGTAACACTTCAGCCTTTCCCATGAGCAGCAGTGAAAATGTGACCTGCTTGAAAATTTCTTTCTTGGGTTTTCAGAACATTTAATTGTCTGAGACTGTGGTCAGATGTAACACTAAGCCATTTTTTAAAGGACGGAGGGCCTTAATGCATGCCAGCTGAACTAATGCAAGTTTTTTTCTGTGAGTTCTTTACTGATACATTAAAGTTCAGTCACTGTCACTTTAAGCTTGAATGAAAGAGGTATAAAGTTACAACAGTTTGGCTTCCACTTAGAGTGAAAGAGAGGAGACAGGTTAAAATTATAGCAAATAAGTTGTAAAGTACCATAATTTTAAATCACTTTACATGTTCATTAGTTTACACTTCAAACTCAAAATTGAGAATGATTCTGTAGCCTTTTCATTGAGGGAAATTCACAGTGCTATCTTAGATCACAGGGCTCTGTAGGAGTACATTGATTCTCATCAGTTTGAGGCATGGGATCCCATGTCAGCTCTTGATTAAGAATCTTTTAGTCAAAAGAAAGAGATGCTTGTACTGTCTTGCTAATTCTGGTTTTTAAAACAACAGCAA